TGTCCCCACCCTGGGCCAGGTCACTGCTGGGCATCTGGAGAGTCAGGGGGGGTACTCCTGAAAAGCCACTGCAGGCTAAACTACCCACGGGAAAAGAAGATGCCAATGACCAAAAGCAGGAGTGAAGGCAGGGACATTCCTAAGGACCTCACAGACGTAAAGAGAAAATGCCAAGAACAACTGTTAGGTAACATGCACGAGGTGGCCGAACTCCTAGAATCACACAAACTACCGACTGACTCAAGGACAGGAAACCGGAACAGACCTGTAAGAAACAGGGATTGGATCAGTAATCAAAGCCCTCCCAAAGGCCCAGGACCAGATGGCTTCACCGGTGAATCCGCCAAAGGTTCTAACCAGAATTAACACCAATCCTTCTATTCCAAAAAGTAGTGGAGGGATCACTTCCTAACTCATTCTGTGAGTCCGGTATTACCCCAATATCAAAGCCAGAGGAAGACATAAGAAAACTACAGATCAGTATCTCTTACAGACACAGATGTAAAGATCGTCACCAAAATCCTAGGCGATCACATTCAGCAGCATAGTAAATGGATTATACACCACGAACAAGTTGGATTTATTCCAGAAATTCAAGGTAGCTCAGTATATGAAAACCAATCTCAGTAATACACATTAATAGAATGAAGGAAAAAAAAATCACATGCTCATTTCAACAGGCACAAGAAAAGCATTTGATAAAATCCATTACCCTTTTACGATAAAAACACTTAAAAACTTAGGAATAGAAGGGAACTTCCTCAACCTGATTAAGAGCTTGTATGAAAACCCCGCAGCTAACATCACACGCAGTGGTGAAAGTCTGAAAGCTGTCCCCCGAAGACTGGGGACAAGGATGTCTGCTCTCACCACCTGTATTCAACATAGTCCTAGAGGTTCCAGCCAGTGCATTAGGCAAGAAAAAGAAGTAAAAGGCATTCAGTTTGGAAAAGAAGTAAAACTATCTTTATTCGAAGATGGCATGACCTTATACTTGGGAAACTCTAAAGAATACACACGAACGATAAAAGATGATAAATGAGCAAAGTCACAAGACACAAGATGCAAAACTCAACTGTATTTCTATATATTAGCAATGAATAATCTGAAAATGAAATAACACAACTCCATTTACAACAGCATCAGAAAGAATAAGATACTTCGGAATAAACTTAACCAAAGGAAGTGCAAGACTTGTACGCTGAAAACGGCAAAGCACTGCTGAAGAAAATTAAAGACCTAATTGAAAAGTGGCAAATACCCTGGGTTCAGTGATTAGAAGACTTAATACTGGCAAGATGGCACGCTCTCCACATTCATCTATAAATCCAGTGTGATCCCTATCAAAATTCCAACTGCCTTTTTTGCAGACATAGACAAGCTGTGCCTAAAATTGATACGGCATCGCAAGGGCCTCGAATAGCCAAACCAATTCTGAAAAAGAACAAAGCTGGAGTATTCACGCGTCTGGATTTCAAAATTTCCTACAAAGCTACAGCAATCCAAACGGCGTGGCCCCGGCACACAGACAGGCACATAGACCCACGGAGCAGAACTGAGGGTCCAGAGATAAATTGTGGCCCGTCGACCTTTGACAGTGGTACGAAGACCATACAGTGGAGGAGAAGGCCCGTACGTGAACGGGCGAGTCCACGAGACAGACACCGGCAGACCGGCGGCGCCGGGGGCTCGTGCGGGTGGGGAGTGAGGAGTGACTGCTGTGGGGGGGGGTTCCCACGGGGGTAACAAAGGTGTTCTGGAACTAGATAGTGATGATGGCTGCGCAGGATCGTAAAAGCCAATGAGTTGTTCACTTTAAAATGGTTGAAATGGCGAATTTTATCTCAAAGCAAACAAAAACTACTCACACAAACACTGTCTGCAAACTTACCTCCTGGCTCTGGCCTGCTCCTCACTGTGGGGGGCCGGGAAGGGGGGACCCCCTGCAGGTTCCGGCCACTGAGGAACCAGAGGCTTGAGTCAGAGCTCCACCCCCACCCCGGTAGGCCAGGGTCATCCCTGCTAGAGGAGGGGGCCGCTGGGGGCCAGGGGTGGCACGAGGAGCTGCCAGCCCAGGCAAGAGCTTTGTAGGACACGAGACCTCCTTGACCTTCCAGTTTCATCCTTCTCAGCGGCATGAGCACAGGCTGCCAGCCCTCGGCTCTTTGGCCCCACTTCTGCAAACGACAGCCTTCCTGTCAAGGACTCGGCGGGGGCCAGGCTCCACGCTGAGCCCCCTACATCACCTGGTGGAATACCCCAGCCGTGAGGACGGGCATTGTCCCCGTCTGAGCTTTGCCCGAGGCCAGCTGGTCAGAGACGGTTGGATCCCAGCCAGCTTTGACCCTGAGCTTCCAATTCCCCCCACCCCTGGTCCTGATGGAGCTCTGGGGAGGGAAAGATCTGAAAGTTAGGATGGCAGATGGTAGAGCCAGCTGTGAACCCCCCAGCCTGGCTTCTGTGGGAATGCCAGGGAGTGTGGAGGGGGTGGGCGGCAGGCTGGAGCTAAGCCCCCCTTAGCACGGGCCCTGGGCACCAGGCTCGGGTGTGTCTGGGGCAGCCGAGCCCTCTGACTCAGCAGGTGGGTGGAATGTGGCAGCAGCCGCCTGGGGCCCCTGGTTAGGGGCCGCATTTCCCTTTCCTGTGAGCACCCTGGGGGAGGCGGGCAGCAGTCTGGGCACTGCGGGGCCACGTGCAGTCAGACGCTCAGACCCAGTGGATCCCAACCGCCAGCCCTGCGCTCTGCTCGGGGGCAAGGCCACACTGCCACCAGAACTCAGCACTGGCTCCCTCTGCCCCCTGCCTGGGAACCTCCCTACAGATCACGCGCCTGTCCCACCTGTGCCTCAGTGGGCCTGGGGACCAGTGTGGGGAGAGGTGTGCCTAAGCCCTGGGCTCGTGGGTCCTGGCGCGGGACCACAGGTTCCCTGCTCCCTACCCGGGTAGTGCACTCCAGGGCCACAGCTGTGCCCAGCTGGTGCTACCCCCGGAAGAGCCCTGCCCGTGCTGGCAACATCCAGAGGTCTTAGGGGCACAGCTCTGGGGGCTTCCGCTGTGGCCCTGTTCTCTCTCACATCCCAGACAGGATTTGGGGGAGCCCAGCCAGGAGGCAAATCCAGGTGACCTGTGCCCCTCTGACCACCAGACAGGCGCTGGACTCCCCCCACCCAGGCTGGATTTACTGGGATAACTGGGCATCCGCTGCCGGGCAAGAGACTTTACACGGATTCTCACGCTCAATCCCCCCAAACCTGCTGCAGTAGGTGTCTACACCCCCAGCAAGAAAACAGGCTCTGGGCGAGGAATGGCCACAGTGCTCAGTCTCATCAGATGCTGCCCTGGGCCTCCCCCAAGAGGGCCTCAGTGCTTGCTGCAAATAGTCACACCGAGACCGGTGTGGGCCCCACGCACGGCAGTCCCCTGGGCACGTGGCCGGGGTCTCCTCTGCCTCTGTCATTGACAGCTCCCTCCACCTTGACCCAGAAGCAGGACAACCGTGGCCCACACAGCCGGCCTCACCTGCTGTCCCCTCCACACTTCCCCCACCTGGGAGTCTTTCTGGGGATGCCCCCTGACTGGCCCACGGGGACTGTCACAAGGCCCTTCCTGTCTGCTGTGAGTGGGAAGACAGAGCTGGGGCCATCTCCCCCCACCCCAGCTGCTGCTGCTTTGGAGTGGGGCAGGGCAGAGCTCCCCCTTCCAAGGGACCCCTTGGTCCACTGGGCATGGGTCTTAAAGAAAGTTAGACCCCAAAGAAAGGCCTGAGTGCCCAGGACTGATGAGTATGGCTCCATCCTTTGGCCATTGGCCCCGGAGGCACAAGGGCCTGAGCCACCGTGCTGGGGTGACACTCATGTCCTCACACTGCAAAAAGGTCATGTGGGTCTGGACACGGTGAGGATAAACAGCAGCCCAAAATGACCCAGCCAGTTCCTGCTGCCCTCGTGCCCAAACCCAGCCCCACACTGTGGCGACCTTAGGTGTGTCCCTAAGAGCTCTCCTGGGTGGGGGCTCACTGTGCACCCACAGCTGCGACAAGCACAGGGGGTGTCTCAGTCACAGGATGGGGAGTGAAAGCAGGCGTGGGAGGGGTGCACAGGTGTGCAGGAGGACAAAGCGCATCATCGACGGGAGGTGGGACCTGGGCCAGTCCTCTTGCCCAAAGACTCCCCTTGAGGAGGCACCTGTGGAACGTGCTGGAACCTGCTCTCCCCAGTGAGCACCCAAGGAGCTCGCAGAGCCTGATGGTACCTGCTCGCCCAGCCAGCCCCAACAGGCCTCTCGCCTCCTCCCTCGCCTGCTCTGCCATGAGGAGAGGTCCCCTGGGCTCTGCACCCACAGCCCCACTTGTCCTGGAGTGGGCCCACTTCCTGCAGAAACTTCTAGAACAGAGGCTGCACCATCAAGCGAGGGCAGCTACATAGGCTGGGCCTCTTCTGCACCTCTGCCCCTGCAGTCCAGCCCTACAAAGGGGCTTTAGGGCCAAAGCAGTGGGGAGAGGGGACACAGCACCCTGCCCTGTGTGTCCCTGACCCTCGTCCCTCCCTTGGCCAAGATGAGGCTCCCCTCCCCATCCTCCCAGGCTGCGTGGCTGCACGACAGGAAGCAGGCGGGTACCAGGCCGGGCCACCCCAGCTCGGACCCCTCCCAGGACAGGCAGGGCAGACGAGGCTCAGCATGGCTGCGCTGGGGCCTGGTTTACAAACGCACCCTGGAAAACAAAAGAAACGAGCAAGCAGAGACCCCTGTGTTCAAAGGGGCGGGCGGAGCAGCAGCTGCAGTGCTTGTCCAGGCTGACGGCCCCGAAGCCTCTTCCCGGGCTCCAGGAAGGCAGTCTCATGCGCTGTCAGGTCTGGCACTGGGCTGTGGGGTCTGTCCTCTGCCAAGGCACCCTGACCATGCATCACCAGCTGTTGCCAGAGCAGGGAGGGATGGTCACCTCCAACCCACCCCGAGCGAGGCTGTGCCTGCTACACCCCCGCGAGTGGTGCAGCGTGTCTTCAGGGACTGGGCGCTCCACCTGCAGCTGTGAGGGGAGGTTCCCCAAAGTCCCTAGAGACCAGCCCCTGGGGGTGGTCACGGTCCTGAGACCGGAGTTGGGTGGCTGGTGGCCTTTGCATCTTCATGGTGCCCAGCTCCACTCGACGGCCAGCCTTGCCCTGCTGGTCCTCAGAGCCTGGCTTTGGGCCTGTCAGGTCTGTCCCGGGGCCTTGGCTGCCGTCCGCTGGAGGCCGGGCCTCACTGGTGGGCTCTCCTGAGCCTCCCTTGGGGCAGGCCTTTGGCCTCTGTGCTTTCTGCCTCCTGGTCACATTGAGAAAGGAACAGCGTCAAATGCCAGCTCCAGCCCGAACTCCCCCTTGCTCCCCAGGTGGTCCCTGGAAGCTGGGGCAGATCTCGGTCCCCAGGGCCTGCTATGGGCCCAGGCAGGATGTGAAGGCCGAGCTGGGCAGCTCTCAACCCTGGGAGAACTCAGCGGTCCCTGCCGCTGCTCCCTCAGTTCTGAAAGCAGCTTAGGAAAGCCTAGGGACAGGAAAATGAGCACAAAGAAAGAGCAGCTCAGGAGTAGCTCAGCAGGAGGGGTGGGCAGATCCCAGGCCTGGGGCGTCTGGCAACCTCCACTCAGGGATACGGAGTGGCCGCTTGGCGCGGAAGCTCAAATGTAAGGCCTGGAATCCACACTGCCGGCTGAAACCCGCTCTGCTGCTTATCAACGCTCTGTGCCTCAGTTTATTCATCTGTAAGATGGGATCAGTCTCACAGCAAGGCCGCTAAAAGGATCGAACAATCTGTGCAACGTGTTTAAAACAGGGCCTTGCGTCGTTAGCTGAGATGGCCTGTGCCCGCACAGCCTCGCTCTGCTCACAGGAACCAATAGGAGAGAAATGAGCACACCTGCCTTGGGGGTGAGGACATCGAGCCTCGGAGAGTGCAGACAGCACCGGCTTGTGCACGGCTGGGTCGTGTCTGACCCCAGGGGCCATGCCCTTCCTGCAGAGCCTGGGCCTCGGCGCCTTACGGGTTAATGGGCTGAGAAAGGCTGGGGCCAGCCAGCCATGGTCTGAGGGCTCTGAGGGGGAGGCATGGTGTTTCTGGACCAGCTTCTGATAGACTCGGGGTCCCCACCACTCTCCCCTCCCGCTTTGAGGACCTCTCCTGTGCCCCCCACCTGGGTGTCTGCAGACACCTCCTTCACGCAACTGCCCCAGCCTCTCCAGGCGCTCACCTCTCCTGTCCGAGTGCGGACGGCCCCGGGGGCTCCAGGGTCCTGCGGATGTACTCTCGGGAGCGGATGTCGGCCTGAAGAGATGGCAGTGGTGATGGGTCCTGAGCTGGCCTTTGGACCGCCCTCCCCTGCCAGAACAGCCCGGCACAGGCGACCTCATTCCCTCCGCGGAGAGCCCACCTGGGGCGCACGTGCCACACAGACGCCGCTTTCTGGGGATCGGGGCAGTGGCCTATTGGTGTGTGGGTGACAGGGCTGCCAGAACCTTGGGGTCAAGGCCCTGCAACAGCAGTTTCCAAACTGGCAGTCCCCGAGGGGCCCGAGTAGCTGCGAGCGGATCGGCTGAGGGTGGGGTCCTGGGTCTCCTCCCGGTGTCAGCTGGAGCTGCTTGGCTTTCACTGGGTTATAGCTTGTGCTTCCCTGTAGGTTTTGCTTCAGCCAAAGGTTTCCCTGCTAAACCCTCTTCTCCAAGGACTCTCAGCCCAGCCAGTCTGTCCTGTCTCCCCGACTAGTACCAGTGGTGACCCCTGTCCCGTCTCCCAGATCACCAGAATAAAGAGGGCCCGTGGGCTGCAGGCAGGGACCGGGGCAGATCCCAGCAGGGCGGGCCCTGGAACAGGTCTCAGTGGGAAGCCCCTGATCCAAGCTCAGAAGGGCTTAGATTAGCTTCAGGGCCACATGGCTGACAGCAACAGCTAATCCCTCAGACTGCTCTGGCTTCGGTTCACAGGGAGGGGCCGGTGGGCAGGTACCCACAGGGGACAGCTGGCCCTTCCCATCCTCCCCTGCAGCAGCCCAGCCTGGACGGCAGGAGGGCGCTGTCTCCAAGGGGCTGCGCCAGAGCAGCAGAGGAAGGGCCCAGACACGATGACAGGAGAGAGCAGATGTGACCCCACCGCGCCTGCTCTCCCAGGAACTTCTGGAGGCAGAGTCAGGAGGGAAAACTGTTAAGAGGCGAGCGGGCCCGGGAAGAAAATCGGCCACGAGCCTGAGCCGCCCTAATGGACAGGACCGTCGCCCTCCCAGCAGCGCGGAGACTGCGGGCTCCCACGTGCAGGGTGGGCGGCACGTCCCATCCACTGCTGGCTCTTCTTTCTCCGGGCTGCGGACCAGGATTTGGCCAGCTCTTCGCGGTGCTGAGCACAAAACCCTTGCCCCATTTCTAGGTGCTCAAGGTACTTTACAGGCCAGCTGTTCCCTCCCCTGCAAGGACAAGGGCCACTGTACCCGTCGGGCAAATCGAGGTGGAGAGGGACAGAGGCCGGTGGCACCGCACCCGGCAGGTCTGCGGCAGTGCAACCTAGAGTTCCCGGGGCTGCAGGTTTGGGGGGGTTTCTTGGGTTTTCTCTCGGGCCACACGGCTGGGTTGGAAAGGGAGAGGAAAGGCCTCCCGGGGAAAGGGGACATGGCTCCCAGGCTTGGGAGCCCAGGCACCTACCACCCAGTGATGCCCGGGATGGGGAGACACCGAGGCCGAGTGCCACGGAGGTGTGCGGGCTGCTGCTGCCCCCTGGAGGCCGCGCCGCACGCTGCAGCCGGAGGCCCAAGGCCCAAGGCCCAGGAGGTGGGAGTGGCGGGGGGCGGGGGGACATTTCCACTGCGCCGCAAGCCCTGCCTCTCTGCTGGGTGGCCGCCCCGGCGCAGGCTGTGGGGCAAGGAGTGGGATAGACGGGGAAGCAGGAGGCCACGGGGGCCCCTGGTCAAGGCTGAGCGCGCCAAGGCCAGCGGTGGGCATCTTGCACCCCGCTGTGTCTCTCGACACAAAGGCTGAGTTCTTTCTCGGCCGAGCTGACAGGTTCGCAGAGCTCTGACCCCTGCATCCCAGAGAACCAGTTAAGGTGCTGGGTGCCCAGTGTGGCCACACCCCTAAGTCCCCCGACCGGTGTCTCGGGTGCCAGTGCAGCGGTCCTGCAAGGGCCTCCTCCCTCCAGGCCCTGAGGGGCTGCCTGGGGACTCTGGGACCCCGGGCTGATACCAAATGATTCTCAGGCGACCCTGGTATCTGGGCACGGGAGGCTCAGAGAGGCTGAGTGCGCGGCACAGCAGATGACCTCCCGGGAGCTCCGTATCTTCGGGTCCACTCTCCTGCCTCCAGGACCCCGCAGGGCCGGCAGGGCTCTCCAGCAAGGTGCTGTGGACCTGCCCTTGCCTGGGATCCTGTCCTCATGTCACTGCGCTCTGACCCCAGGTGAGCTGATGGGGAGCTCCTGAAGGGCAGATGGTGGGGCGCAAAGGAGCATGTCCCCCCCGCCACATCCCGTGGCCACCCACCCACCTGGCGCACGGGCTCGGGGATCCGGAACCTGCAGCAGCGGTGGGTGAGGCGCACGGCCGTCTCCAGGCCCATCTTGTGGCCCACAGAGATATAGAGGGGCTTGGTGCTGTGGTCGTGGCTCCTCAGGGCCTGCGACAAGGAAGGCGAGGACAGTCCTATGCACTGGCCACTGGGACGGGGTCAGGACCGGCCTCCGTGGCTGGGCTCTGACAAAACGTCCCGGGCAGCAGGAGGGAGCCTGGAGGTATGGGGTGCTCTCAGGGAGCTTTCCTGCTCTCCGGGGACAGGGCAGCCCCACACCACAGCGGGTGGGGAGGAAACAAGTGCACACATCACATCCCAGGGCCATTGTGGCCGGAAGATGGAGAGATGAACACCATCCGGTTTGGGCACGAGTGAGCGCATGCATGTCTGTGTGCACACGTGCATGCGTGTGTGAAGGAGCCCCTGCCCAGGCCACCCTGCCCCTCTGACACAGGCCCTTGCTGGGGCACAGGGCCCGGGCCACGCACCATTCCCAGGACGGTCCCAGAGCTTCCTGTCAGAGGGAATGTGTCTCCTCCAGCCTGCAGGAGCTGGATCTGGAAAACGGGGAAAAACACTTGGAAAAGCAGGTCTTTTCTTGGTGAAGGGCTGGAGGCGAGCCTGGCTATTATTGCAACAGCAGCTGCCAGGCCAGGGAAGGGAAGGGCCTGATCTCACACGTGAGCCTCAGCCGGGCACCGCCGCGAGCCTGAGACAGCACTGAGCACGCAGGCTGTGGCGCGGTTGGGCCTGTGTCAGGGCACTGCCCACAGGCCTTGTCCAACCCTGACAACAGGGGCTGAGGAAAGGCCCAGGGCCACAGTGCTGGCAGGCAGAGGTGCCAGACTGGTAGAAACACAGGACTCACCCGCTGCCCAGTGGGCCACGACTAGCCCTGAGGCCCTTACTTCCTGCTGCTTTCTGCTTTGGGCATATTTGATTCAACTCAAAAAGCCATTATTTTGAGGGGTGGGTTGGCCCACTGAGCGGACCTCGGGTCCCTGTCAACTCAACAGACTCATTGAGCAAATGCTCCATGCAGGAACTCAAGAGCCCAGAGAAACAAGGGACGCGGTCTTTGCTCTCGGAACATGCCATCCCGCAGGAGAGCCAGGTATGTCACTGGCTCCCACCAGAGGGGGTGTCACACTCCCAGTGCCAGCCTCAGGGACCCGGAGGAGGGAGACGTGGGCGAAGGTAGGGAGGAAGGGTGCTGGCGGCAGCTCTGGGCGGGCTGTGGTGTGTGGCATAGGGGCAGGGCCTGGAGACCACGAGCACCTGAGTGTCCAGGGGAGGGGACAGGTGGCTGGGCTGGGACAGAGGTGGGAAAAGCACCAAGCACCCCTGGGACAGCTTGGAAGCCCATCCCGTCCCTAGGAGCTACTTGGGGCGCCACAGCAGCAGAGGTGAAGGAATGAGAGGCGAGCACACCCACGAGGCAGGAGGGAGATCGGGGAGTCCCAGCACCACCCACGGGACACAGCGAGGAAAGCAGGGCAGCCCCAGAGGAGAGCGGCTCTTCCCTTACGCCAGGCCGGGATCCAGGGACGGCGTGCGCAGGCCAGGCCACACCCGAGGTGTGCCCGTGCCCGGGCCCTGGGCTCCTGTTTACCTTCTCCTTGTGCAGGGTGTTGTTCTCCAGCCCGTCCACGTGCAGAAGTTTCTTGGCCACCCCAATGCAGGGCAGACCCGTAAGGACGCCAAGGTGACAGGCCACCCCGAAGCCTGCCGGGGAATAGAGGGTGTGGCTGGGGCGCGTGAGCCCTGCAGCCTGGAGATGTGAGGGTCAGACAAACCAGAATCTCACCGAGAACTTGCCCAAGTGAGCAGAGGGCTGTGGACGGGCAGAGGGCTGGGGAGACCAGACCCACGACCAGGCTACCCGGAGAGGAGGCCTTTCTGCCCCGATTTCCCGGGTGTGAGGCTGGGCGGGCCCTCCACCTGTCGCGGTTGGCTGCCTCACTGGTGCAATTGCTCAAGACACCTTGCCCCGTTTCTCCTCGTTTTCTGGGCTCCACTTCCTCTCCCCTTATCAGCTGCCATCTGGCCTCTGCATCTGGCCCCTCCACATCTGGGCCTCCTGCCTGGTGGCCCGCACTGCAGCAGCCAGAGTCCTGGCGCCGCGTCCAGGCAGGCATGTGGCCACCCTTTGGCTCTGGACCCCCAGGGCTCTGGGGACAGCTGCCAGGCAGGCCTTGCGTGCGGCTGCGGCTGCGCCGCCCTCACGTTTGTATCTGAGGGTAGAAGGGCCCAGCTCCCCCAGCACTGCTCCCTGGGCCGCCGGTCCCCGGTATCGGCGGGGGAACGGGCGCTGCCGTGTGGTTTCGGATGAGGACCTGGCTGGCAGGTGCAGGGCGGGCAGCCTCGGGGAAGGCTACTCTGAGCTCAGATCCTGTGACATCTCGGATGGTTGGGTCTAAACTGGACGGCGGTACCTGGGCCAGGGTAGGGCACTGCGGGGCAGGCAGGGGGCGGGCAGGAGCAAGGTGAAGAAGGGGGGGCCTCATTTCCTGGGTGGAAAATCATGTGTCCCGACCGAGAAAATGAGCCAAGAAAGGGGCTGTGGGTGCCAGCTGGCGTAGGGGCCGTCAGAGGTGCCCTCCCTGACCCTCTCTTTCAGGAGCAGAATTACCTTGGTGGTGGAGCACCCCGTTTCCATCCACGAGAATGACCTGCGGAGCCACGGGGAGAGTCACAGGGTCAGCTGAGCTGCCCCGCGGCCCTTAGTCCGGGGCTGTCCCTGGGGCAGAAAGTGGGGACTGCCGCTTCTGGCATCCAGCTTTCTAGGAGAAAATCTCGTTCCTCTCCTCCAGAAAGCTCACGGGGTCTCTCCCTGCTACGGGTGGCGGCAGCAGCCTGCAGGGGGCCGTCCCCCCAGGGGAAGCCTTCCTCCTGCCCTAGGACCGAGGCACCTGCCTGGGGCGCGAGGCCCGGCTCCTTCGCCTGCAGCCGCCGCACGGCATCCACCAGGAAGGGCACCTCTCGGAAGGCCAAGAAGCCTGACACGTAGGGGGCCGTCAGGCTGACCATGCGGCTCTCCTCGTACACCACCTGCCACAGGGCACACCGGTCAGCGGGCGGGCGTGACCCCGCCACCTGCCCCTCCCCCACCCTGCAGCCCACCACTCCTTTCATCCTTCCACGCCCGCAACCCTCCCTCCCCGCACTGCCCCGCGACCGGGTGGAAAGCACAAGATGATGGGTTGGAAAGGAAGGACTAGGGGACGTGCCCTGCAAATCGGTGCTGGGAATTCAACTCGACGTCATTTCGAAGGAGCCCCCCAGGACCTGGTCTGTAGGAGGAGCCCTGGGTCTGTGTCTCTCTCCGGAACTCGGCCAAGGTTGGCGGCCAGCCTCAGCCCGCCTGCCCCTCGCCCGCCTCGAGTCTCCCCCTGTGTAAATTAAAGCTGACACCTACCCTGCCCCGCACCTCCGTGGGCTGTTGGAGGCTCGAAGAAGACAGATGCAGGAAAGCAGGTGCACAAACTGCGGTGTGCAGAGCCAGTATCGTATTTACACTATGCAGGGCCCTGGGGGAGAGGCCATGTGTTCAAAGAGGTTGCCAGAACAAGGCAGGCGACACTGGCTTCATGAAGAGATTTCAAATAACTCAGGAACAGCACAGGTGTGATCTCAGAGTGAGACAGTCTGAAGGAGAACAGGGGTCCCGGTGGACAGCAGAGTCTGAACGGAACCCTAAGGCTGCAAATACTCCCAGAGAGGAAGCGGAGGGTGCCGTGGCTTGGTGGCGCCCAGGGTGGCAGGGGGGACTCAAAGGCCTCTGCGAGCTGGAGGCGGCGTGGAGGCCTGAGGGCTCCAGGGAGAGGCAGCGCAGGGTCTGCAGGGGGAGGCTAGAGTCAGGGGCCTGCATGGCCCAGAGCTTGCCAGAATTGCTGGGGACAGCCCAGAGAGCTTTGCAAAGTGCAGCTCCCTTTCTTAGGGTTTCTCTGACCAAGAAATTATTTCTCAAACTAAAAAGAACCTAACACACAGCATGGAAGAGGGCAGCCCTGTTAATACCTGATTAGGACATTAAAACGGGTCCGCTTAGAGTGCAACGCGGCAGGCCCGAGTCTCCCGACCTGCGTTTCGTTGCAGTCGCCCCGGCCGGAACGTGGACCCGCACCTGCCCCCAAGCACACCTTCTGCGCAGCCGCCGCCTGCCCGCGTCTGCTACTGAGGCCCCCGGATCTCTCGGGTATAGCTTCCAAATCACAACTTCGCTTCCCTCCGAGACTGGGGCAATAATTAAATATACCTCAGAGAACTGATGACTCTGTGCTAGCATGGAGGGCTGGAGCTTGTCCTTTCAACACTGTCATCAGTAGCGCACAGGGAACTTATCAATGACCCAAAGTGGGGAGGGTCCAGTCCCAGAACAGAAAAGAGAATTTGGGATTACAGTGAACTCGGCAGGCTGCGCCGCTGAAGCCCCTGTGAAAGGCGACTTTTCGCAGGGACACGGGTGGAGTTCAAGTGTGGCCTGAGTTCCCATAGGATGATGGTGGCTGTGTGTGTCCAAACCTCTGCACAAGTTCCAAAAACCAGAGAGATCAAGAGAGAGGAGAACCCCCGCCCCATAACCTCTGCCCGTGGTGTGGGAGGGGACGAGCTACCACAGTGGCGTGCACCTCCGTGGGGAGGGACGCGGCCCAGCCGCAGAGCTGCTCGGACAGCATGCTGGGCAGCACAGGCGACAGCAGGGCGTGGCGGGTTCTGATCAGGACCATCCCAGAAATGCAGACCATGGTACAAAGTGACCAAGGAGGGACGATTCAGACTGAAAGTACAGTAAGAGCCGCTGAGGAGAGAAAAATGAAATGTAAAGAAAGGTTAAAAGCGATGGAGAAAGCAGGCAGGCAGAAGAGACACGGCGGACACATGACGCAAAGAAGCTGCGCAGCGCCAGCGTTCTAAGGCAGGGTTCGGGCAGCGCTCCCGGAACAAAAGAAGGAGCCACTGCATGCCTGGAGAAACTGATCGGAACCGTCAACTCAAGAGGAATCTTAGTGGGGAACAAGAGTGAATAAAACAGACATACTGAATAGAAATCCTACAGCGACCATGTTTATGTCACGACGGTGAACGTAACGTAAATGTTAAAACTCTGCAGGCCACCAAACAAAAGGAAACCAGCTTCTAGAGACATAATAGGGACACGCGGGGTGTAGCCCCCGGCTCCTGCTGCTTTCCTTGTCGTGGCTGAGAATCACAGAGTGCCTTGGCCGCTCCGAGACCCGGCCGGCTGCAGGTTTTGCCCAGCAGGCTTGAACAGTCCCAGGCCTGGTAACGGTATCTAGGTTGTTGCCTCAAAGCACTGACAGCAACGGGCCTCGGCCCTGAGTCAATTCCTTAAACCTTCATAAAACTCCATACCCTGAGCCCCTGGCAGGGACACACCCGAGTGGAACATCCCTTTCTCTCGCTGTCTGCCTCGGGGACACGCTGCAGCCCCTCGGTATGTAAGTTCCCCTAGCAGATGCTTTGGACTGACGCCCTGGCATTCACTGCTTCTCTCTTTGGGGTCCCAATTGGCCCCTCTTGGGACAACAAGGGGCCCTCCCTTGTGGGAACGCCTACCGCTGCTTCTGGGGCCATTTCAGCTGTAGGCTTGGCAGGATGAAACACGGGGAGATGGGAACACGTAATGGGGTTCAGGTGACGTTGTGCGATTATGATTTTTCACAGGTGTGATAATGACGTCGCAGTTACGCAGGAGAATGTCACTGTCAGGACAGGCCTGCTGATGTATTCAGAGGTGAGCTGTCACAACTGCGGGATGTGCTCTCAAATCGTTCGGTAAGCGCACACACTTACACACAGAATATGGCAAAGTCCACAACAGTTAAATCTAAGTAGAAGTATATAGGTTTTCAATGTACTTTTTTTTCAATTTTTTGGTATGTTTGTATATTTTCAAATAAAATATCTGGGAAAAGAAAAGTCAATCATGCAATTAGTGTGTGGGCCAAATCTGGAAGGCCGGTGATCGCTGAGAAGATCTGACAGTTTCAACATAAGCCAATGACACACGCCCCCCAAAAAGCTAATGGTGTTTTCAGTTGCACCGACAGAAATGATGTGTGAACGTCAGGTCCACTGAATTGGGTTGAACCAATTTGAGGTACTGTGTTCACCTCTGGGTGCCAGGTGTCAAGACGACCCTGCTAACGAGGGCGCCACCGGAGGGCCATCCACAAGTGAAGGATGGGAACCACTGCAGCCTTTCGGGACGGAGCGGATGAGGAGGGGAGTGCGGAGCTGTTTCAACAGCGGGGTGGTGGGGGGCGCAGGTAGAAGGGTGGGGGGATCTGTTCCGTGTTTCGCTGCCTGAAGGCAGAATCGATGGGTAGGATCACAGACGAGAAAGTTTCAGCTCCCCATGGAGGAGAACGAACTGCCTGTGCTTCAGGGTCCAGCCAGGGCATGGCCATGCCGTGTGGCGGTCACTGTCGGGGGTGCTGAGCAAAGGGCTTTTGACCACGTGGATGGTGGACCAGTGGCGCCCCACTCCAGCCTTGCTTCGCAATCACAGGCAAGCTTGTTTTAAAAAGCTGACCCCCACGCCGGACTCTGGAGATTTTCTTCCCCTAATAAGTGGGGTGGGGCTCTGGAATCTGTATTCTTTTTAACAGCTTTCCTGAGATTTAATTTACGTACTACAAAATTCACTTGTATAAAGTATATAATTCAGTGGTTTTTGTATTTACAGAGCTGCGCAACTATCACCATAACCCAATTTTAGAACGTTGTCCTTACCCCAAAAATAAGCCTTGTCCCCACTAGCAGTCACTCCCCATTCATCCAACCCCCTAGCCCTAGGTGACCACCAATCTACTTTCCGTCTCTATGGATTTGCCCATGGAATCTGTATTTCTAATCCCTTCCAGGCAATTCCGATTCTTCAGGTCCACGGTCAGGCATTTGGGAACAAATGGACCAGGATCTTCCAAAATCCTTTCCTTGGCTAAGCTTTCACTGCCTGGGACAACAAATGCCGACTAAATACCCAAGTAGCAGGCACTCTGCTTGGGGGTATGACCCTACTACCCCTGAGAACCCACAGTCAGTGGGAAAAACAGAATTGTCAACAGCTCGCTTTAGTACGACTGGGACGCAGACGAGGGGTGATTGATTCGGAGCCAGGGAGAGCTGGAGGGAGAAGGGGATGCCGTGCTCACTGCTGCCACGCATGCGCTCGTTCATCCCCCCACCCTGTGAACTGGGTGTCAATACCATCATCCTCCTCGAGTTACGGAAGAGGAATCAGAAGCCAAGAGTGGTGGGATGGGGAGTGGCAGAGCTGGGGCACGCGTGTGAGCAGTCCGGCTCCTGAGCCTGTGCTGCCCCCAGCGCTAGCCTGCACACTGGCCAGGGGACCTCTAAGGGCAGGGACCACCAGACACGCAGATCTTAGCACACAGCGGGCACTCAACACATTTGTGCCGAATGTGGACTGCAGGGGACCTTCCAAGTAAAGCACAAAGCCGCGGAGGCAGGAAGATGTCTGCCATCTTTGGGAGCAGGCAGAGGAGCAATGAGAGCGGAGCCACCGCCACAGCTGAGGATCAGCAAAGGTTTCCTTGTCAAACGCTTCTTTAGCCAAGGCTTCCCGAGCTGTCGACTCTAAGAGAATCACGGATCTATTTCAGAAAGATTCAAGTGTCTTCTACGTGCCAGGCATTGGGCTAGGTGCCGAGGCTACCACTGGTGGGCAAATGACACGGTTTCTACCATCATGGAGCTTACATTCTGATGAGGGAGAGAGGCCAGTCCATTCCAGTGTGACAAAGAGGAAGTAGAGGTTGCTATTAGAGGGTCTAAATGTTTGTATCCTCCCAAATTCATGTTGAAATTATATCCTATACGGTATTAAGAGATGGGGCTTTTGGGGAGGTGATTTTATCACCATGCGAGGACACAGTGAGAAGCTGGCAGTGTGCCCGCTGGCAGAGGGCCCTCACCAGGACCAGACCATGCTGGCACCCTGACCTCAGACTTCCAGCTCTAGAACCATAAGAAACAGATTTCTGTTGTAAGCTTCCCAGCCTAAGGCACTTTGCTGCAGCAGCCTGAACAGATGAAGACGGGGGTGTGAGGGGCAACTCCTGGTCTGGTGGGATGACAGGGGCTTACTGGAGAGAGTAATGTCTAAACTGAGCCTACAAGATGGTAAAGAACATTCCAGGAGAGGAAACATCACTGCAAGGGCCAGGCAGCCAAATACAGCATGGCGTGTTTGAGGGATTCCAAGTGGGTTGTAGGGTGTGGGAAGGGCCGAGGGTGGTGGTGACGGCTGAGCCCATAGCGCCACATTAAGCAGGGGGCAGATCACCAAGGGCTTTTAAGGCATGGCAACAAGAGTGAACTTTATTTACCGTGAGGTCAGGGAAGGGAACTGAAGTGTGGTACCACAGTGACACTTGCTTTTTAGGAAAATCACTCTGCCACCAGTGCCGAGAAGGGACCGCCCGAGCAACACTTGAGCCTGGGCACACATGAAGATTCTGCTCAGGAACCTACAGGAGGGGTGATGGCCGCACAGGAAGGGAAGGGGGCTGAGAGGATGCTGCCAAGGGGACAGATTTCAGTGACATTTAAGACGCTGAAGAAAGGGAGCTAGTGTGCAACTGGACGTTGAGGGGACGGGAGGGGCCCAGGAAGACACACAGATTTCTGGCCTGGGGAACTGGGGGTGTGGTGCTGCTGGTCACCGAGATGAGGAACCCAAGACCCAAGACGACGAGCGGACTTGGAGGTAAAGATCTTGAGTCAATTCTTAACAATCACACGATTCCCTTAGTTTTGCCTTCTCTCCCCCCTCCACGCCTCCCCAGCCTATTAATGAAATCCTGCACAACGAGCAGCGGGGCTCTGCCCTGGCAATGCCCCCTGTCCTGGAGCCCATCTCGGAGCGGAGGCTAACCCGCGCCCACCGGGGGGCCGGCCCTAGCGCAGCATCCCTCCCGGTTACCTTGAGCTCAGGGTAGCTGAGCACCACAAGGGAGGCACAGGCGCTGACACTGTCCCCTTTCACGAAGGACACGTCAACGCCCCCGACCCTCTGCAGGCCCGAGAAGGCGGGGTCCCGCTGCCACGCCTCGGTGTCCCGGTCTACGACGCGGGCCTTCAGCCGGGCTTGCTCCCTAGGAGGACGGAAGGTCAAACCGGGCCTAGGGTCCCACCCCAGGCTCTCCCGCTCCACCCCTGCGGCCGCGGCGTCCTCCGGTTCCGACAGAGCCCGTCCCTCGGGTCTTAGCCCCTCTCCTTCGGGGGAGGCCAAGGGACTCGCCGGCGAGGCCACAGCAGCGCCCGCCCCCGCGGACTACAACTCCCGACGGCCCTTTCGCCCGCGCGGCCGCGGGCCGGGCGCCGGCCGCTCCGAGTCCACAGCCGGGGCGTTACGAGGCCGAGGGGTACGCGAAAGGCCGTGTGGCCTCCGCCCCCGGCGCCTGCGCGTCTCCCGACCCCATTACCGTGTCCAGAGCGACAGGGTTTCCTTCAGCGGCCGCCCCGCCGCCTTCTCAGCCATGCCTCAGCCGGCGCGTCCCTTCCGGCAACGTCCCTTCCGGGAGCGTTTTGCGCAGGCGCTGCCCGCCCTCGTTGTCATGGAGGCGCTGTGGCCGCTGCCGCCAGGGGCCGCTTCCCAGCGGCCGGGCTGCCCGCCGTGGTCCTCGGGCACTCGCGGCCGCCTCGCGGAGGCCCTGCGTAGTCACACACGCACGCGTCTGGCCTCATGTCGCCCAAGCGAGCGATGTCGCCTGGGGCCCCGGGACAGCAGGAGCCCGAATGAGTGACCGGCGCGAGGAGCCCCGGGCCACCTGGTCCCGCCCCCACAAAAGGACTGTCCCCAGAATACCCTACAGAGAGGGTGATGAGGTGTGAGTTTTGTCAGCATTTGCTCTCCTGGGGAAAAACACTTTCCTGGTGCTTGTTTTTTCCAGCCGGAAACGGGATTCATAATGCTTGAGTGTCAGCTTAATGAATGGAGGTGAGGGAATTAAGAAAGTGCAGAACGCAATACAAATGCTAATCGTGGCTCGGATCCATTGTTATGCGGCCCAAGGACTCAGGTTTTCTCCATCCACCTCCCCAGCTGATAAGCAACGTTACACTTAGCACTTACTAAATCAGGGACGTTCTCCTTTAGCGCACTAGCTGGCACGTGCATGGCTGGACGTGGGTAGCTCTACCTACTTAGCTGGCCTTTTAGCTGACATTTTCTTCCCAATGATTGTTTATCACTGGAAGTTTGTTTTTAAGTTGGAATTGCCTGAACACATGGGAATAACTGAAATAGCTCATGGCTGTCTCAGTTAACAGATGACAAAATCTTGTAACCATTAAAGAAAGGTAAGTAATTTGCACACACAATAGTGTCTTCAAGGGGATACAGTGATCAGTTGTTATGATTTTCACGTAAGTCACCGCCAACATAGGGCTGAAAGGAAAAAGAAGTGTGCTATAGGGCGATGTCCAGGGAAATGGATGTGGGTGAGTGAAATCAGGAGAGGAGTTGGGAGGGTTGGAGAGGAGGCAACTAAGTTTCCTAGATGCAAGTGGGTATTGAAACAAGTTACCACCTGGGGTCTGGGACAGACACTGCGGGGTGAGGAGGCGAGTCTGGCGCAGGACCAAGTGCGTCTTCCTTTGTAGGCCAGCATGTCTCTTCTAGCTGTGGCTGCAGACCACAGGTTTCTCTCCTGGAGGAACCTTTCCTCTTTGGGAGAGAAAATGCATTTTTACCACTCAAACATAACAGTGAGCCGTCCTGCAGCCCACCTAATCCCTCACTACCTTTATTTCCTGTTTCGAGGAACTCCTCCCATCCCACAGCCCAGGGCATCGACAGGAGTTAGCTCCTGTCCTTACTCACTGCTGGCTGCAGCTCTGCCGGGTCTAGTGAAGTCATTTCGGGCGGGGCCCGGCACTGCTTCACTCCAGGACTCCACTCAGCTTGTAAGTCTGAGATCAGCCACGGGGAGTGGCGCTAAACTCCACCGTGGATGCGCAGTTCTGCTGTCCTTCTGTCCAGAGGAAAAGTTTACCGTCTCATATTCTAAACCAGAATGTACATTTTCTGTCCTGAACCTTCCACTTCATGGATACTTCTGCAAGAACATTTCCACAAAAAACCGAAACCCTTCCCAAAAGCTTAGCTGATGTCTATGTGCCATGAATAGAAGCTCTGCCTCCAAACACAAGGACTCCTTAGCAGCAAAGCTCAAGTTTATTAAAACAGGTATGACAAGTATAATAAAATATACTTTGCCTGTGCTAGGCCAGTGTATTTTTGTACAAACAACATAATGCTAGATATGACAGTTAAGGCTTTGAAGCATAACATACAAAATGAAACATATTAATTAAAAACCTTTAACAAAAGTGGGAAAAAATTCCCAGGCCAAAGGGGGACGGGGAAAGGCTTTCATAGCAAGAGACAGACACCTGACTCCCACCTGCTAAGGTGTGACACAGTGAGAAACTGGGTGTGAGCTGCCACCCGATGGCCAGGGTGAGCTTCCTGCCAGCTCTGAGGTATTAAAGGAGTTCCAAATACAAGTGGAAGAGATGAAAACAAGCCCACCCCAACTCCCCACGTCTATTAAATAGGCAGTCCAGGATGCAGATGTCTGGGGAGTGGCTTTGCATAGTTCGGAATGATAAAACAATCACAGGTTACTAAATGCAAGTGCATCTTGTATGAAATGAGTTGCTACCTGACTCCGTCAAACACTGACGCGTGTATCAAAGTCATGGAAACGGCGGTCCTTCTGCACCTCCTGCCAGTGGTGCTCAAGGTGTGCATGGCCGTGTCCTGGATAAGCATTTTGAATTTTTGTAGCTTTCACTCCTTGGGCCCAGTTTCAAGTTGATTGAGGCATTAAGTCATTTTAAATGCATATTAAGAATATTGCCTCTAACTTGTAAACAGTTGCTACTCTGATCTCAGTGCAAGTGGGTACTGAGCTACCCAGGAACAGGGATTAGTCTAGGGAGGTCATAAGTATCAAAGCAGATTTGGCGGGGAGAGGGGAGAAAGATAACACAATGAGAAAATCAGCACAAGATCAGGGCTACTTGACCATTTTCTTTCTCCTTTTTCAGAAATTTAACTGGTTTTGTACTCTCTCTGAGTCTTAGTTTTTGTGCCTTGGCTGAGACACAAACAAAGGCCTAGATAATTATATACCTGGGGAAGTTGAGATCACACTAAAACTGCATGTTTATTTGGCATAATGCTAGCCAATCAAAAACTTCCCACAGAGTTGCCAAAACCAGGCCTTTGATTCAAGTTTACATTAATCAACGTTCATTTATAATTTAGAAGTATTAGAATTATAAGGACCTTTGGCCACCAACCCACTCCCTTCATTTTGTACGTGAGGAAACGAAGACTCCAGAAGTGTCCCTGATGCCTGGCCCAGAGCTCCTCACAATGCAGGCTTCTTGGCTCTCCCCCTCCGAGGTGTGGCAGTGACTCATGCGGGTCTGGTGAGATCTTGTTAGTTTGGTCTTAAGGCACTCACAAAACACCCTGATTGTTCTTGTATTTGTGAGAAGGCAAAACAGTCTGGCACTTTTCCACATCTTCCCGGAAACCCAGAAATATTTGTGTAGTACTCAGAATTTAAGGTCATGGAAGAAAGAAGAAAACCAGATCCTTTTCCGTGAGTATAGAATAAATTAGAGAAAATATGAAAGCAAAATTAATGACCCTGTTTTTCCCCTCCTTCTAATTACGTAGTAGTCTGAGGAGGGACCTGTGGCCGAGGAAGGGCCGGAGGTTCCGGACACAGGCCGTTACTGCGTGTGAGGCTGAGAAGCTTCTTTGTCTCTCCTGGGGCGTAAACGACGGTGGTTTATTTCCAATTTCATGTAGTCTTCATTGACACCTCCTAATGAAGAGCGTTCATATGATGAGGAAGTTTTGGAGCACGTACTTGGTTCGGAAGCAGCCCAGCTTTCGGGAAGCTGTCGCTCACACGGCACATCCTGGCCTTGAATTCCGTGCTAGGCCAATGGCGTTCCTCCCGAGCACTCCCAAAGGCAGCGGGCCGTGGTGGGATCCGGGCCGGGGGTGTGGGGCAAGAGCCTTCTGCCCCGAGTCTCCCCGAAGACAGTGCTGAGGATGTGATTCTATCTCGTCTGTCGATCCCGTTTCAGTTCAGCAGCCATTTTCCACACGCAGACACAGTTTGAGAGCAGGATCTCTTCCGGGAACTGACACTCCACTTCAGGAAGGGTTTCGCTCTCTTTAGTGTCCATGTAACTTACCAGAGTTTCTCTCAGGCTGAAAAACCAAGAAGAGAGAGCATTTAAAAGTCTCCCAGATAACATCAGGGACCAATCAGTTGTTCCTTTTTCCCATCCTCAGGAGAATGACTGTATTTATTAAGACAGAAATACTGAGGGTCAGCTTGCAGCCAACTACCGAGCGACCGCGCCGGGACTCCCGGCACGTGACTGCTGCTCCCCACGGGTGGCTACGACACCACAGCAGCCTGTGGAGCTCGCCTCGAGCGCCGCCCTTCAGATGACATTGGGCACTTCAGTAATGGGATGTTTATTTACAGGGCTGTATAAAAAACAAAGCCTCACCATTAAAAAAAAGCTTGTATTCCATTTCATGTTTTATATTA